ACGCGTGCGCGTCAGGAGCGCGCGTGGGGGACTGGGACCCCTCAGAATTGGGGCTGGGGTTCTGAAGGGCTACTGCCACCAAACTGCTGATGGCGGGGTGACCGGGGGGAGAGGGAGGATCATTAAGAGAGGACCGTTCCTCCGCCCTGTTCCACAGGTGGGCCCCTGCCCAGGCGGCTACTTTATATCGGGAGTTAGTGCTTAGGGAGGGGGATGATGCCAGTGTCCCCACCAACTTCAGGCGCCCTGAAGGTTTGAGAAGATCTGGGGAACCATCTTGGCCTCGCAACTTTCGGCTGCCCAAGGAGACGGTTATATAAATGAAGCGCCAGGCCAGGGCTGCATTAGTGAAGGAAAAATGGGAGGCAGTGAACCCGTTATAAAAGTCTTTCTTCTTGGAGCTTTTTAAACAAAGCAAAATTACAGTGTAAGGGTTAATAGTGGGAACCCCAGAGCCAAATCCCTAGGTGGGCCTCCTGGCCTCCATCCGTGTTTTGCGTGACTTGGGTTAAGTGACTTAACTGCTCTGGGCTAGCTTCCTCCTTCGTTAAATAGCATTTTCTCATGGGTTTTACATGTCAAGTGTTTAGAAAAGCACTCTATAACTTAGCTATTATCCTTGTTATTATTATTAAGATTATTAAAAGGGGGCTACAACAAGACAGCGGACATAATCTAATCAATTATCTACATTTTCTGGTTGGGTAAAAAGGGGGCCTCAGGCATTGGAGCCACAGGATGGAGAGCTGGTTTAGGCCCCATGAGTGTTTTAATATTGTCCCTCTGGTACTAATAACGCCCCTCAGGGGGTAAGGAAGCACGAAGCACTGTGTTGTTGTCAGGAATTCCTGGAACCACAGCTTCTCAGAGATTTTCTTCCTTGTTTGCTTTTTCTCTGGCACCTCCGTTCTGTGTTCCTTCCCCTCCCCCACTACCATTTTGTTTGTGTTTTTCTTTTTGCCCCTTTCCTTTTCCACCCTACCACTTGCTGGGTTCTCTCACCACCATCACCTCCAACCTCCCTCACCCTCCCCACCACTTAGTTTACCAAGTGGAGGAAAGTAACAAGACTGGAGGACAGCCCAAGTCCATGTTGAAACAGTATTGTGTGAAGGCAAGTGTCCGATGGTACCAATGAGGGTTTTGAACACCCACCTCTGACGCCAAAAGGAACCCAAGGCCTTGAGTTACTACATCTGAAATCTTTCTGATCCTTACATGGGAGAAAGAAAATAACATTTATAGGTGTTAACCAGTCTTTCAAAAGTAAACACAGAGTATTTAGAAGAAGATAGAAAGGGGGAATGCATCATAACTTGGTGTGTCGGGGGAAGGAAGCTGATTTCTTTTAAAGCAAATCATTTCTACTCTGTATGATTTTTGCACATCATTTTTCTAAACACCCAGTCCTTGAGATTAATATTATTCTAATTGTTTTCATTTTCTTCCACTCACGATTTTCCTGAGTACTAACGGTGTGTAAATGTCTTAAATGTCTTTTTTTCCTCTGCTAGGATCTGTATCTCTTTAGGGTTTCCTAGAGCCCCTGACCTCTCCCCCTAGATATTCTGATGCTTCCTACCCGGTACCTGGTAGGTGTTTAATAAGCATGCATGGAGCCACCAGGTGAGTCGTTTTGTCTCCAGATCTTTTTCAACTCTGGGGAACCTACATTGAACCATGGGAAGCATTCTGATTGTCTTTCACCTGGACTAGCCAATGAGGAGACGAGGCTGGGTTCATCTGTGTTTGGAGAGGTCGGCCTTGATTCTCCACTTGACTGTCGTGGACTGGCCAGCCAGGGGACACACTGGGCCTCACCTCTGACTGACCTCGCCTACCCAGCATCAACCCCAAAGATGCTGGAACTGTATCCTGGTGGGTTACCTTGGCAACCTCACAATGTCATCTGTTAGAATGTCCTAGGGCGGCAGCTTTTAATTCTATCACAGCGGTCTCATCGGGGGTCATGTAATAGTGCTGTTTTTCCTCTGCTCACACTTTCCCCCTCTATGATTTAACACTAAGTACTCAGGGAGGGAGCCGAACACGGGGCAAACCAAGCTATTACAGCCCAACAGGTCACAGATGGCCCCAGAACTGGGCTCCCGAGTGTTCGCGGTCGATAAAACGCAGCCCCCAAGTTGATAGGGAAGCGCACACCCCCTGTGGAAAGGAGGGGAGTTAAGCCAGCCTAGGCAAGCGTAAGAAGCAGCCGGGGCCAGACTGTACGATTCCTGTAAAAGCTCAGTTAAAGGAGCCCCCCTGCTGGAGCAATTCTCTCCCTTGGCCTCAGCTGCACCGCCCCACTCTGGAGATGATGAAGGCCATGGGTACCAGCAGCCAGAGGCATTGTGCTGCATCCCAGCCCCACCGAGGCTCCAAGCAGGAGGATCCTAGCTCCCCCTCTGTTCTGCCCACCTCTTTCCCACCCCCACCCCACGATCTTACCGGGCTTCTCCCAGTGGAGCTCAAAATAGCCCAGTCCCCATCTATAAAGAGCAGTAACAACTTACGCAGAAAACAGACCCATCAAAAGCGACGGAACCTCAAGAGCTACTGACCTAATTGTTTATTTGCAGGAGCACAGAAACCAGATCTTCTACAGGGCAGCTGAACAGCCACACTGCAGGGCCAACTGGAGAGATAAGCAGCCTCGTGAATGCCCTGGAGGTACAGGAATTATTCATCCTTATCATCACGGTTAATAGTTTAAGTGAGTCTGCAGCCACAGTGAGGTTTGGCTGGGTGGCTGCTCCATAAGAAAGGGCTGCAGAAAGCTGGCCCCATGTAGGGTGACCCTCGTTCCTATAAGAAGGTCAGATTTCTGTGCCCCAGAGCCAGTGGTTTGGGAGGAGCCCCCTGCCCTGTGTTCATTGATGCCCCACTCTGGCAAGTCCCTGACACTCCTGGTCAGAATGGAGCCGGCATCCTCATGCCGGTGTCCAAACACGCCTGTGACTGCCTCAGCCAGGTGGAAGTGTGAACTCGGGTAGGGCAGGGAGCTGGTTAGCATATTTTGCTTCTACGCCTTGATTGGCCGAGGCCAGGGACTTTTGTCCAGAGTGTATCAAACTAAGACTTGGCAGATGCCACTCCCAGGCAGCGTCAATCTGAGGGGGTGTTTGGATGATTGCCAACAGTTCCATTCATCCCAATACAAACAAAAAAATTCAGTGTTACTCTGTTCCTGAATCCGCTCCTCATTTTTACCTCTAAATTCTCAGTCTGTCAGTCCGGCAGTTCCAGGGAGCTGGGGCCCTCCTGTGGCTGAGATAGGACTTGCTTTCTGGAGCAAAGAGCGGTCAGAGAATAAATTGCAGGATTGTAGGATGAAGCACGCGGCTTTTGGCAGCTTGAGGAAGCCTCTGGCTTTACCAAAAGCTTTTCATATCCATACCATTCCCTGGTTATTCCATTCATGGGATATATCTATTAACTTGCATTTGTGAACAAAGTTTATTACCTGAGGGAGAAAAAATATGTATACATATGAATATGTAGGAAGCCTATATATTCCACAGATGCCAAAAAATAATAAAATAAAGGTGATTGTGGAAATAACTCAGTGAAGAAAAATGGGATAATATTTTTATACATTAACTGATCTGATTTCCCATCCCCCAGTGTACTTCTTGTTACTCGGTATTAACTCCCTTGCCACCAATTTAGACAACTGGAGAAGACAGTTTGCCACTATATATTGCAACCAGAGGATGTGAAGCTGTTGGAATGGATGCCACCCTGGATGTCGGTGACACTGATCAGGTTCCCTAAGCCTGCTCAGGCTTTGGCCCAATGTGGACTTATGCACAACTCTAGGGGAGCTGGGGCCAGTCCCGAAATTGACTGGGAATAAGTTTCCACCACCTCTGTCCCCTCTGACATGTTGTTATAGAAATGTAAGGTAAGTTTTATGCTTAGCATATCTGAGTAGCTACTATGCTAATAGGAGATGAATGTGTGTGGTGTTGGGAGAGACTGGACACTTGAAGGCTGACACTGATGATGAGCAAATGGACATAAGGTGCCCCACCCACCCCTCCCCACACTGTATAGGAGGAAACTCTTAACGTTAGCACGTGGGCCAGGTGGTACACTGTGAACACAGCTTCTCAAGATATCAGCTTCTAAAAAGTCTTTCCAAATATTATTTTTTAATAAAGGGCTTCCTTCAAAAGGTTTTGTTAACTGAGATTTAACCTCATGGCCTGATAGGTAGCCATTTATTCCTCTCCAATTTCCCCAACTGCAGGAGGGCTCTCATGGTTGTGATCTGGTCATTCCTCCATTTCCTGGAATGCCCTGACTTCTAAAATAATATGATGAATGAATGAATGAACAGGATAAACAAGGGAGTACCATTTGTCTTAGTCCATTCTGGCTGCTGTAATTAAACACCATAGGACAGGTGGCTTATACACAACATTTATTTCCTACAGTTCTGGAAGCTGAGAAATCCAAGATCATCCCCCTCAGGCGCCCCACCACCACCACCACTAGTTGCTGTCTGA